ATAGAATAGAATAGAATAGAATAGAATAGAATAGAATAGAATAGAATGTTTTATTGGCCAAGTGTGATTGGATACACAAGGAATTTATCAAATGCTCTAAGTATACATAAAAGAAAAGATACATTTGTCAAGAGTCAAGAATCATAAGGTACAACACTTAATAATAGTCATAGGGTACAATAAACAATCAAATCATACTAGGAAACAGTCAATAAGTAAGTAAGGATACCAGCGACAAAGTTACAGTCATACAGTCACAAGTGGGAGGGGATGGGTGATAAGGAGTGATGAGAAGATTAATAGTAATAGTAGTACAGACTTTGTAAATAGTTTGACAGTTTTTGAGGGAATTATTTGTTTAGCAGAGTGATGGCATTCAGGAAAAAACTGTCCTTGTGTTTAGTTGTTCTGGTGTGCAATGCTCTATAGGATCGTTTTGAGGGAAGGAGTTGAAACAGTTTATGTCCAGGATGTGAGGAGTCTGTAAATATTTTCACAGCCCTCTTTTTGACTCGTGCAGTTTGCAGGTCCTTGATTGAAGGCAGGTTGGTAGTAATTGTTTTTTCTGCAGTCCTAATTATCCTCTGAAGTCTGTGTCTGTCCTGTTGGGTTGCAGAACCAAACCAGACAGTTATAGAGGTGCAGATGACAGACCGAATAATTCCTCTGTAGAACTGTATCAGCAGCTCCTTGGGCAGTTTAAGCTTTCTGAGTTGGCGCAGAAAGAACATTCTTTCTTGTGTTTTTTTGATGATGTTTTTGATGTTAGGTGTCCATTTTAGTCTTGTAATATAATAGAACCCAGAAATTTGAAGGTCTCTACTGTTCAGAGGTGGTATTCAGCAAGTTCTGACCAGTTCTGGAGAACCGATAGCGGAAATTTTGAGTAGTTCGGAGAACTGGTGGTAACCTTCCCCCAGGAGTGGGGGAGGGAATGGAGATTTTGCAGTATCCTTTCCCTGCCACACCCACCAAGCCATGCCATGCCCACAGAACCGGTAGTAAAAAAATTTGAATCCCATCATTGCTACTGTTGATACTGTGTTGTCTAGTATTGTAAGAGGTGGTAGTATGGGAGGGTTCCTTCTAAAGTCTACCACCATTTCTATGGTTTTGAGTGTGCTCAGTTCCAGATTGTTCCGGTTACACCACGAGGCAAGTTGTATAACCTCCAGTCTGTATGCAGATTCATCGTTGTCTCGAATGAGACCAATCACTGTTGTGTCATCTGCAAACTTCAGTATTTTAACAGATGGATCGTTTGAGATGCAGTCATTGGAATATAGGGAGAAGAGAAGTGGAGAAAGTACACAGCCTTGGGCGGGGGGGGGCTGTGCTGCTTGTACAGGTATCAGATGTGATTCTGCCTAGCTTCACCTGCTGTTTCCTGTCTGTTAGGAATTGTAACTTCCTTCTCCCCCAAAAAATAAAGTTAGAAAGTGTGCCAGGCAGCTACCTTAAATTGATATTTTAACTTTTTCTTTCCTTTCTCTTTTGCTAGGATTCAAAAGGAGACCAAATGACTGCCATTTGATTTGCATTAGTTCATTTCTTGGCTGCTAGCAGCAAACAGAAATTGAACAGGATCATAATCGGTGGGCTGCTGGCAAAATCCAAAGGCAAACTTCCTGACAAGAAAGATGACTAGCTGTCTGTTTTATAATAATCAACTGATAACAAAATAAGCAACTGATGTATGTTTCCGCTCTCCACAGGATGGGATTATATGATCCTTAGCAAGCTGCCTACCAGTCCTAGCAGTCCTACGTGGCTGTGTTGAATGCGTTGGAGAGGCTGTTGCTGTTTGCAGAAATGCTTGGATTGATCCCTGCAATCTTTTTAGGTAAGCATCAACTAACTGGATAATAGGAGAGGATTGTTTTTGTGGGGACCTTTTACAATAGCTCAATTTATTTGGGTATTTATAGACAGATGGAGGAATGCCTGGAAAGAGGGGAGAAAAATGTTTTCCTCTGTGAGCTAATCATGGTCAGAGCTACTTTTTATGGCACAGAATTAAGATCAGGTCTAAGGTGATGTTTAATTAAAATCTAGGTGATGCATTAGAATCACATATATACCTTGCATGTATCACCTGAGGGAAAGAGAATCAGGCAGCTTATCACGGACAAATCACTTTCACATAGTAGCAAATACAGCGGTAACAAGTTAAACCTGTTGACCGATGTGGTCTGAGAAAATGTGCATTCCTAGAGTGTTTGCTTTAGGGTCCCTCTAGAGAAGAACAAATACAGAACAGTCAGTTTCAGAAGGAGAAGATGGGCAGGGAAGGGACTGAACAGAGCAAGCCTTTTTTCCCTGGGTTTGACAGTCCCCTGGCTTTCCAGAAGTCAGAGTACAAACCAATCTGCTGCAGTCACATGCAGTTTAGCATCTGTGTGGCTTTTCTGGTCCCCATGCAGATAGATTTTGGTCACAGTGGTAGCTGAAAGCAAGTCTTGTTTGTTGGAGCAAGAGCCTATGTTTTGGAAGACATATGGTCTTCAAGAATTGGAGGAACTGAATCCTTAAGGACAGGGGCGGGATTCAAATTTTTCTGTGGGCATGGCTTAGTTGGTGGGCGTGGCTTGGTGGTCATGTGACTGGGTGGACGTGGCTTGGCGGTCATGTTATTGGCTGGGCGTGGACAACTCAATATCACTCACATCGAGGCACACATCTCCTTGCCTGGCCTCTCATGATTGTGGGGATGCTGCAACAGTCATAAGTGTGAAAAAGGGTCATAAGTCACTTTTTTCAGTGCCGTTGTAACTTTGAATGGTCACTCCACACAAGCAAAGTACCAGAAAAGGAGGGGGGGAAAACTCCAGAGAAGTTCCTGAGACAGGAAGTCTAGTCCTGGCAAGAATGTAATAAGGGTTAACAGAGAGGCAGTTTCTGTAAGCAACACCAGAATGTTTCCTTTCTGCCTTCCTTACAGGATTAGGCCAGTAATTTCTTCTAACAACCGGTTCTCCAAACTGCTTAGAATGTTAACAACCGGTTCAAGCAAATAGGTCCGAACTGGTAGAATCCTACCCCTGGTTAAGGATTAGGTGCAAGAGCAAATTAAAGGGAGGCCAAATATTCAGTTATATATGGAAAAAGTCCTACAAGATTGTTCTGCAAGATTGGTAGCAACTAAAATCCAATTGCCATCAGTTCTGACACACTACACATTAACTGCAGTTTGGTGTTACAGACTACTTAGCCAAGAAAATGAGTAGTACTAAGTGATATCTTATAGGCATGATTTGTGTGTGTGTGATCTTTTAAACTGATCTTGACTCCTGGTGACTACATGGAGAAGTCCCTGCAGCTTTCTTCACAACAGAAGTGGTTTGCCCTCACTTCCTTCCTAGGGCTGAGAGAGTGTGTGTGAGTGGCCCAAGGTCACCTTGCTGGCTTTGTGCCCAAGGCTCGGAGTCTTGCAGTTTCTACTCAGTGCCTTTAACTGCTACACCAATCTGTCTCTCTATAGATAGGTAAGAGTACAATGTCTAAAGAAAAAACCACAAGCCTTCACATTATGGGCCTTTTGAGAGAAGATTCAGGGGACATTTTCCTATCACTCTTCCTAGTTTCTCATCTGCAAGAGAGGTCTATCCAGATGATGTTTTGGGAAGCTATTGCTCTGATTTTCTGTTCTGTTCTGTGCAAATGGGCAGGATGAATAACAGTACTATGTTGTGAAAGCATAGAATTTCTAAGTAAGCAAGGAATGAATTAGCTCAGCTTTCTGTCTCAATCATACTTCCTAATATTATTTTCTCTTTTCCTCTTTTTTTGGGGAAGTCAATGTAATGTTTTAAATCGGCCTAGAAATCATACATTGTGATTTGTAGAAACTAGAAGTTTGAAACCTGCCAATGGATTGTTTACATATTTCCAAGATACTTCTATCAATCCCATTTTTGCACTCCTGTGTTTGTCTTCGGCAAGCCTTGTTCTCAGTGATTTTGGCAATTTGACATTAATATCTTTAATGGGCAAATAACAGATGGACAACAGTGTTTTCCTGAGGCTCAAAAAAGAAGGTAGAACATATTTCTTTGCTAGACTTTTTTTTTACCCAATGTTCCTTGCAAGCTGGACAATGCAGTTTTACTTCAGCTAAAACTTAGCATAGAAATAGTGCCTCCAGTTTTCTCAGCTTAAACCTCCAAATTGGTCCTCTTCACACCAAATTAAGTGTTCAGACAGGATCAATCCTTCCCCCAATCTTTGAAAGACACCAGTTGGCTCCTGCATACCCATTAAAGAAGAAATAGAAATTGGCTTTTCTCAAAGAAGAAATTTAATTTAATTGTTTAATTTAAATACTAATATACATCAGATCCATGAGCCTGAAACAGGGCCCATGAGTTATAGGTAACAAATACTATACTGAGAAAAAAAACCCAAGCTTACTTATTTTCATCTTCACAGACACTTTAGCATTTTCCTGCATTTTAACATGATAGTATTTTATTATAGCATTGTATTTTTGTGCTGTTAAATCATGTTGCCATAACTTAGTAGAATAGTCCCCCAACTATATAACTAGCAGCTGTTAGCTTGGTTTAATGCTATTATTAGTGATCTGCAAACTGAACTTTACACACACACACACACACACACACACACACAAATGGGCTATGTAAATAAGCTTGGGAGACAGAAGAGCAGCAACCTGAGCAATGGTTTGACAACCTATCTCAGCCCACAGAAGGAATGGGGATGGAGAAAGCATCTCAAGGGCCCTTCCTTAATTCTCTGAAAACTAAAGGCAAGAGAGGAGAGAAGTACTTTCAAATGTGCATGATTCTGTTCCCGTGGCCTTATTATAAAGGTAGTGTTAGAATACTTTTAGTTTCCTGTCTAGATTACATTGAAGGGCTGATTGACATCCAGACACAGCAATTAAAACAATTGGTTAGCTATTATAAATATGTTTATTGGATAAATATGCTAAATGTTGTTTTATTCATTTTTTTGCACCTTCTCTAAGTCATAATTCCTTCAAATGGAAAGAATTTTAAGCAAATTTCCAACTCTTAAAAGTAGTGGATTCACCTGGGCCTCTATAATTGCGCAGAACATCCACCATAAAGATGACTAATAATATCTTAATCAACCCAATTCATTTCAAAATTAGACATACTCTGAATTTATACACTGTTTGGTTTTATGATAATAAATAATGTGGCTTTCAGGAGATTGGGTATTGCTCCCTTTGAAGATGTAGTGAAGCAGTGCTAAATCTTTTGGTTTCTTATAAATGGCTTTTCTTCAACATATGCTGTTTATTGTGAAATGAGGTGATTTTGGTTTCTACACAGCTAAATTTTTCCTTGAGTATCTATCATTGACATTTGCGTAATTATCACATTTAACTTAACCACCCCCACACCAGCCCTATAGCTTGGGCTAAAAAGAAGTGAATCATTTTGAAAAATTTCCCATGGATGACTGAGAATATACAAAGCTAAATTCTTCTATTTCTAGGTAACTATTTTTAGAAGAATCTAAGGAACTTCAGATCTGCAGGACGATCAACCCAAGAGAGGTAGGCCAAGTTTTATTTTGTAAACCCCACAAGTTTGTTTGTTTTTCAGGCTCTTGTGAATATAAAAGAGAATTCCTCTTAAAAAGTTGTATATAAGAGGTTTCAAAATCTATTCAGGGTGTTATAACAATAATTATACCAGCAAGGAAATATTATTAATGGACTGGTAGAATTATAAAAAAAAATGTTTAAGCTCATGGCTCCGTCAGGTAGATCTGAGGCTTTTCAGCAGCAGTAAATTTAGGAAGGGCACCACAATACCCATATTCAATTGTCTTTAATGAAATTTAAACCTATTTACATATTTTTGCTAATCTTGCACCTGAGCAGGAATCTGCCCTGAGCAATGATTAATAAAATATTGTAGGTCTTATATAGTAACTACAGTATAACAAATTTATATGCAGGAAATGCATGATGGAGATGAGCAAAACCCAGCAACTACCGATAGCTACAGATAGTCCTAGATTTATGACAATTAAGCCCAAAATTTCTGTTGCTAAACAAGACACTTGCTAAATGAGTTTTGCCCCATTTTAGGACCTTTCTTGCCACAGTTGTTAAGTGAACCACTGCAGTTCTTAAATTAGTAACTTGATTATTAAATGAATCTGGCTTCCCCATTGACTTTGCTTGTGAGAAGGTCGCAAAAAGTTGACCACATGACGCCATGCAACCATCATAAATATGAGTCAGTTGCCAAGTGCCTAACATTTGATCATTTAATCAGGAGGATACTGCAACGGTTGTACATATGAAAAATGGTCATGTCAGTTTTTTCAGTGCCCTTGTAATGGTTGCTAAACAAACTGTTGTAAGCCGAGGACAATCTGTACATCCTATTAAGGAGGAGAGAGAGCATGCGTTCTGTAATTATGTGTACCTGGGGGGAAAAAAGAAGGAATTGACTTGAGATTGGCACTCTTTTAGACAAAAAGCAGGCAAAGTGACAAAATGGGAGGCACAGAGGAACTCTTTAGCTCTCCACATCACACTGTCCCCTTGTGGTCAGTAAGTCATGTAGTGCTAAAGCGTCATCAGATTTCTCCCTCCAATCAGTGCAGTGCAATACAGTGAGGGTGTATGACAGTGGTCTCAACATATCTACAGGAAAGACAGGTTTAGGCCTAATCTTCACCCCTAGGCAGAGAAATTGGAATGAGTGAGCAGTCTTTGGCAGCTGAATGCCTTTTATTCACTTTTGTTGTGTTCTTTGGTCAGTGGGGCACTTGAGTGAGAACACAGAAGCTACAAGAGCCAAGGGGTTGCAGTGACGCCTCAGCTGGTAGTAGAAAAAGTGTTGACTTGTAACATGGTCTTTGCCTAGACAAACTAGCACCAGATGTTAATGTTTAATATTAACATGCGGGTCCAAAAGACACCATATTGCAAAGGCTATGTGTAGAAATGCACACTAGAACTATTGACGTCAGAGACAGAGGGATCCAAAGAAGCTAGAGGACACTAATCCATTCTCCAGATGTTAAAGACAGAGAAGGCTTTTCATAAGGGAGGTTGTGCCACACGTTTCAGAGAAATGGCGCTCAGATATCCTGACTGGAAGTATATGAAAGAGATTAACTGCTTCCAAACAAGCACACAAATAAATTCTGTTTGTATATAGAAGGTTGTAAGAATTGGTATCAAAATTACTCTGGGTACCTGATGGTTGGCCACTGATTGTTTAGAAATCTGAGCACAATGAGGCTGAAGATCTATGTACCTACTGCCATTGATTTCCCCCCCAAAAGGAATCAGGCATCTGAAATAAAACCACTGGATGACAAGCAGTGGATGCAAAGAATGTTTTGCCTCTTTTACCAACATGATGTAGCCCTGATCCTGGGCACATACTTGCCAGATTAAAACGATGTTCTCCAACTGTGCTCTAACCAATGTTTCTGATGTTTCATGTCCTAGAGCAGTGGCTGTTAAATTGGAATAATTTGGGCAGATCCTGGGACAATGAAGCAATTGCTTGTTTATGGGTCAAAGACCCAGTTTAGGATTGCTGCTGCTGAATTGTTCAATAACCAAATCTGTTTTTTTGTATATGTGTGTACAAAATAATAATGTCAAATAATGACATTATTTGAGATTGGGAAAATAGATTATTGGATCAAACAATTTAATAACCGTGATCCTAGAAAAGCCTCAGAAAATCATCAACACCCTTTCCCCAAAAGTGCCCCAAAACTGGCCAGTGGCAAACCAGATTCTTGGTGGATATGCCTGTCAGATTGTGTGGGGGGGACGGGACCTCAAGAACCTGGTTAAAATCATCTGGATCCAGAACTCCAGCCCTGGTGGAGATCAGGCATGATAATCACTCACATTTGGACCATGAAATGCTCTGGCCCTGACAAAGGGATGGTGATAGTACTCTCATATTCAGATCATACAGCAACTAGTCTAAAATGAAAATAGGGTCTAATCTCTGTGTATCAGATCAGTGATTATCTAGATAGGCTCATGGTTGTCATGGAGACCATAAACGTCTGAACTCTACTAAACTGAATCTCCAATGTATGGAAGTTGAAGTCATTCAAAACCACCAGACGGGAACTTGACCACCAACCCAGGGACCAGATGCAGGAATGGTCTGTCAATAATCCTTATAACCACATAAACCATCTAGAGATGAACTGAAGAGCATATTACCCTTACAGAGATACATTACCCCCTTGTTGTAATATACTGGCACATGAATAAAGTATTTTTTATATGGTTTCATCCCAGGAGAAATAAAACATCGTATAAGGCTGCTCTCATGCAAAGATCTAAATTTCACCGGCCCATTTTAATTTTGCCAATTGCATACTGTCTCAATAACACATTCCTGTAGATTTTTATTGCTATTTCTTGTAAAGGTCCCATGAGAGCTACAGAGATATAGATCATTATGAGAAAGGAGGAAATAAAAAGGGAAACAAAGAAATTCCTTTGCCCTGTATGATCAAGAGTCAAGACCATCAAAGCATTAATGTTTAAAAGAAAAGCTGATGCTATATTCCAAGGGTCTTCAAACCTGGCAAGTTTAAGACTTGTGGACTTCAACTTCCAGAATTCCTGCAGGAGGAATTCTGGGAGTTGAAGTCCACAGGTCTTAAAGCTGTCAAGTTTGAAGATCCCTGCTATATTCTAATCTTCTTTGAAGGGAAAGAATTTGTAAATTGGATATTTGAAACAATAGTAATTATGGGGCCAAGATGGCAACAACTAGAATTTCCAAATGCAATGCTTTGTATTAGCAACTTAAAGCATTGCATTTAAAGCAAAAGCCTAATAGGTAGTTGCCTCATACCAAGCAAGGCAGTTCCAGTTTGTTCTGGCTCAAGTCTCTATAACTAGAAGGAAGAGCCCTCTGGGGTTACAGGGCCCTTTTCAGTTCCTGCCTCATGTTTCCTACATTTCTAGAGAATGAGTTGATTCTTAACAAAGATCTTGTTAAATCTACAATTCTATGGGTGGTGGTTATTTTCTTCTTCTCTCTCTGCTCTTTGACATCCCATCATGAATATGGAATCTTAAGTGCCACATTGTAAAATTCATAGGAGAGGAAATGGAGGTAGCTCACCTGCCAAAGAGAGGATGGTCATAGAGCTGAGATGCCCAAGCAGGACATGTTTATTCACCTGTCATTTGTAGATGGCTTGATGTTATGTTGTGGTAGATGATGCCAATGTGCACACTCCACCAAATACTTAGCTTTAATTATCTGGCCCAAGGCCTCCAGTCAGCTGACTTTCCAGATTTGCATGAACATCTTCTCTTTTCCCCCAAATCCTCTTTATTATTATGGCCCAGAGTCCCTCAGTGGTGAGGTGGGTGTCCTATAAATTTAATAACTTCGTTTTCTCTTGAGAGCTGAAGGCCATTTACATGGGTTTCCCCTTCATTTCACACACTGCAATGACCTTGGATGTAGGTTGGACTGAGAGAGTCTCCTTGGTAAGCTTTATAATTGAATCAAAAGTTGAACCTGGGTTCTCTCAATCCAAATCTAGAACCCTCATTATTACACTGAACTTTGGGGTACCTCTTACATGTAGCTCTTATTTCTCCCAGACTTTCACAGCATTTGTTTTCTGCTACATACTAATGGCAATCATTACCAAGGATCCATGTTGATCTTTGGCAGGACTTGCTAGTTGTTTGTTGCGGTTGTAGGTTATCTCCACATCAGAATTGTGTACTTAAGGAGAAAGAGCTCTAGCAGCCAGCAAAAAAATAAAAAAATAAATCCCAAACCAAAGAAATGAGAGAGGAATATCAGCAGCCTTCCCAATTAGGTGCCCTCTAGATGATTACAACTCCCAGCATTCCCAGCCAGCATGACTAGCGTTGTTTGGTTGTTTGAGAAAAAAAATAGCAGTGTTAAAAGATTTTAGAGAATAACTGGAGGTGAAACTATGCACTGCTGACAATGCAAGTGGATCTTTCTTTCCCTTTTAGCAGCCATCAGAGGTCTGCTTGCTATGAAGGCTAAATACTGACAGCTCCATTTATTTTCATTTTGAGAAGAGAAAGGCATGAAAATTGTGGTGGTCACCTTAAAATATGTGCCAGTTAAGAAAAACAAAGATTGCCTCCCCAGTTCCTCCCAAATTCAGTGCAGCTTTGTATGCAGTGATAAGGCTGCATCTATTATTCAGCCTTTCCCCCCCATGTTGAGACTGGACCTTGGCTACCCAAAGCCTTCTCACTGATGTTTTAAGCAAGACAAAAATCAGATTTGAGATCTAAGCTGAAACATGTTGTTTTTCTTTCTTGGTGAAGAAAAGACAGGCATGTTTGATGACCCTGTCCTGATCTGCTTCAATTTCTGAGAGAATATACTGGCTTGGGACAGAGTAGGCCTTCCTTCTTGGAGGTCTGTTTCATATCAGTGCTTATCAGCGAAGCCTTTTCATGCCGCAAGCAAGTTGCATCATGCCAGGCCTGTCTGGAAAATAACTGGCCAGTTTTGCAATTTGCAGGGCCTAAAGAAGTCCCACCCT